TTTGTTTAAAATAAAATTAGGTATATTCAAATTGTAACCAGTGAACACTTTCATACTTTTTGGCTCTTGCTATCAAATAGGTTGCTGACCCCTTTTCTACTATAAGTACAAGAATCAATAATATATTATAATTTTTATTTAGGTTATATTATATTTTATACACCTAATTATTGTAAATGGACAGTTTTCCTTTTTATAAATTGAAAAACTCCATTTTAATTTCATGTTTAACTGTTTAAGATATAATTTCTGGTAATCTCAATCAAATTGAATACAACATAATACTTAGTTCACAATATCTAGTTATAATTATTATTTAAAACAATATATATTTTTGTAATGTTTTAATATTATAATAGTGTAAATATGTAGTTTTTATTATCAGCCTATAGTGCTCAACTTGATAATAATATGTTGTGTGCCAATAAAGTGAATTAGTCAATTTTACAGTAAAGTAAAACTGTTGTTCAATTATCACAAATCCCTTTTATTCATGAGTGAAATATTTTGTATTCTGAAAAACCACAATTTCAAATATTTAAATAACTTAAAAATCATAACTCTAGTATAATATTTTTATGTGACTATTAAATACATTTAAATCAGTATTTAATTATATTTAATTCATTATATTTCATTATTACATTTTCAATTACCATTCAGTATTAATAATATTATAAAGTTGTTTGGCTTATTATTTTGTAAATTTTTCCATGTGCAACTAATAAACTGTTGTTATATGAATGTTAAAACATAGGTAATAGTTTAGAATTTAGATAGTAGGTTCAGGCATTGTTTTTATTATAAAATGATATAGTCCTATTGAAGAGTATTATCTTTATATATAATCATATTATTTTCTAATGATTTTGTGCGTACACGTGTTCATCAATAACTGATAATAAAATGTAGTACATTTATATTTTATTCTTTAGTTTTAATTTTCAAAACATTTATGTATTAAACCAATTTGTATTGATGTGGTGTGGTCATTTGTAACTAAATAACATTATTTTTATTTAGTATTAACTTAGGCATTTATGTACCTACTTAATTTTAATTTGTAATTCATAACAACATGTTCTGAACATTTTATTAAATATTTACATTTATGAAGTTCCGTTACATTTAGACTAGGTACTTAGTAATTTCAACATTGTCTATACTTATTTACTCCTAAAAATTCTGTGTCAAATAAACAATTTTTAGTTTTTCAAAATACACATGTATTTGTATAATATTATTAATATATTTGTTATAAGTATTTACATAATATATAGTATATAATGTGTTTTTGGTCTCACACAATGACTAAAAACTATTAGATAATTTAATTTTTAATCGTTATTCATGTCTTTTATTTCTTACTGGTTAATTATTATTATCATAATTATTAATCTTAGTTCTTACCAAACATTCTTTAAAAATGACCATTATCTATTACACTGTCATTTTTTTCAATACCATTCCATTTGATACCAAATATTAAATTAAAAATTAACCATTGCTTTATATTTTATGTTGAGGTATTTAAATATTTGTGTTTTTTTTAATTTCTTATAATAATTTGTATATATTTTTTTATGTTATAGGATGAGTACTTAAGCTTTGTTGCACGTTTATTATTACATGTAGGTGGAAGAGATATGAGTAAGTATTATAACATTAGATTACTATTATTTCTAATTGAAAAGCATATCATTTACAATTATGATTTATTTTGTAGGAGGTGGTAACCAAATGATGAATATGAACCAAAACCCTGGTCCTGTAAATGCAACAACATGTAAGAAGTTAAAATTAAATATAATCAAATAACTATTGTATACATTTTATATTAATTTCAGTGTTGCAGACATTAAACAACCGACCACAAACTCAAAATAAATTACCTGGTCAAATGACAATGGGACCTGGTCAAATGAACCAAGGTCCACCATTGAGACCTAGTGGGCCTATGGGTCAAGGACCAATGATGCAGAATCCTAATGCAGGTCCTATGGGCAATCAAATGGGTCAAGGGCCTCCTATGCCTATGTCTTCAGTCATGGGTGGTCCACCAATGCAGGGTATGCCTGTTCAAATGCCTGTACAAGGGATGCCTGTACAGGGTATGCCTGTACAAGGTATGCCTGGACAAGGTATGCCTGGACAAGTTATGCCTGGACAAGGTATGCCAGTACAGGGTATGTCTGGAGTTGTTCCGGGTAATATGCCATCAAATACTATGGGTCGAATGCAACCAAGAAAAGTAATAATGTATTTTAATTTGAGTATACCACCATGTATTATGATTTGTTAAAATACTAAAAATATATAGGTAAATAAATACTCAATTGTTATTATAAAAAAAAATTAAGTTCCAATCAATTTTTTTCCAATAATATATATGGCCCTCCAAATTTAAATTTTATTTTGTTAAGTGTACAGACTATTACTTTTTACTAGTTATACTACTAAGTTTTTATTTAACTACGATTATTATATTTTAAATATATGTTATGGCTCAATTTTTAAAAGTTTGAAGTAAAATTCCAAGTTGAATTTTAAGTTCATAAAAATTTAAGAAAATACGATTCCGACAAAATATTATTCAGTAAAAAATACAGTTCCAACACTATGTGTTTCCGATAGGACATTTTTCCGCAATAATAGTGTTTCAAACCAATAATTTTCTAACTTTTTAGTTGCCCCTATTATTTGATGTTTCAATTTGTTAGTATTTTTATTTATGTAATAAATAAACTGGCTTGAGAGAAGTTATATATTATATCTTTTATTTTAATATTCGGTAGCATCTAAAGAATATTTTATATACTATAAAGTCTAGAATGTTATAACTAATAATATGGTGACTAGGTTAACACGTCAAGCTCCCAATTTTATTACTGTACTTATTTAATATTTTTTTAATGATAAGAGCAAGTACTTGTAGACTAGTTAATTAATATTTTCTAGTGTTATTGGAATATGTTTGAGAGATTTGGTTTGATGATTCATTTTTCTTAAAACTTTAAAAAAATTATATACTTACAACCTACCAATTTTTATATGCCAATCTAATTGAGTGACATATTAATGACATCATTAATATTTGTTGATGACTGATGTATTATTTATTGTATTTCAACTAGATGCCTGTTGGCCCAGAAAATGTGATGATGATTCCTAATCAGCCAGTAGTTGGAGGTTATCCAGCAGGACCACCAAGGTCTGTAGCAAATAATCAATTTCTTAGCCATAACAGTCCTTCTTCGCCTCAACAATCTCCTGTTAATGTTCTTCCGTCTGGGTAAATATTAACATTTGAATAAAATGCATTGTTCTTAAATGATTAACACTTATTGTCATAGAGCTATTATAGGTCAAATTAGGGCTTTCGGTTTGGTACGTGTATTGATACTCACATGTACACGTAGTTCGTACCTTAAATTATAAAATATATGAGCACCCCTATATTTAATTACACGTGTTTTTAAAGTCTGTGTACATGTGTATCTTAATACACGTTTACTAAAAGTTCATATACCCGTGTATTAAAATTCCTCGTGTAATTAAGGTCCAGAAGTTTTTTTTTTATAAAATATATATATTTCACATTATTTTGTGCCTGTATTATATAAAAAAAAATTTCAAAAACTAAATATAGACGTAATATTTATGTATCTCATTAATAAATAGGGTTGTTTCTGGTCATGAATTTGATAATTCTGATAACTCATCCAGTTCAACCAATAGCGCAAGTTCTTTAGGAGCACTGAGTATGAAAATTTATGCGCCAATACATAGAAAACGACGACAAACTTATGTAAATCGAAAAGAAGATCACATTTGCAATTCTGAAAAAACAGAACAGATATACCAAGCGTTGGTAAAAATGATAGCTGTAAATCAAATGCCCCTATATTTTTGTTCAGGTGAAGGTTTTAAACATTTTATGGCTGTTGTTGAACTTAATTATTGCATTTGCTAAGAAGGAGCAATAAAATCAAGATTGAAAGCGTTAAGATCATTAATAACAGAAATAATACAGAAAAACTTGGGAGATTCTAAAAGTATAGCATGTAGGTACATCTGACTGATGGTCATCATTATCTCAACATAGCCACATTAAACTTACTATTCATTTAATTGATGATCAATGGTGTCTGAAGTTGTATACACTTACAATACATGCAATGGAGGAATCACATACTGTAAATCATGCTCATCAATTAGAACATAAATTTGATAAATGGGAAATTAGACGGAAAATTATGAAAGTCGTCACAGATAATGCAAAAAATGCAATAAATTTATTAGCCGTCATCTCTGAAACATATGATTTAACGTGAGCTGCTCATAGTATTCAACTTACGGTCAAAATAATGGATTATGAAAAGATGGAATCTATGCACTAATTCAGTTAAGTAGTAAAATGGTTGAGCATTTTAAACATTCAAATGTAGCTAAACAAGCTTTAACAAAAATGCAAGAGGAGCTGGGATTGACCCAACAACCTCTAATACAAAGTTGTAAAACAAGATGGAATTCAGTTTTTGTGATGTTAGGTTGTCTTTATGCTATAGTTGTACTGTGACAAATTTCTAAACTGATCGTAATACAACAAATGGAGCAATAGCGAAAAAGTTGGAAATTACGGTAAGTGACTGGACAAAAGTGGAAAGTCTGGTAATCTTATTAAAACCATTGCAAGTTGTTACAACCATTTTTGTGGCCAAACACATTCACTGGTATCAATAGTTAGACCACTTCTTTCAAAAGTGATTCAAAAACACTTAAAAATAAATAAAGATGATAATGAAATTGTTATAAATGTCAAACAGACAGTGTTATTGTAACTTAGAGAACTTTTTAAGCTTAGTAATTCAACAAACATCGCACCTCCAAGACAAGTTTCATCATCTTTTGATCCGAGGTGTAAAGAATTAAAACACGAGAAAATCGAAGTAATTGGAACATTCGTTCAAAAGTCAAAACTCAAAAGTTTACTGGTTGAAATGAATACTCTGGAAAACAGAGTGGAAATTAATGTTGGTTTCCAAATTAATAATGGTGCACTTAAATTTCTCTATGGCGATGAAGTTCATGATATCAAGGATGCTTCGACACAATATCATTGTTACCTAGCAGAACCACAACAGAGGTACAATTTTGATCCATTTGAATGGTGGAAGTCACACGGAAAAAAATATCCTTTAGAAGCCGATTTAGCAAAGAAATATTTGTCGATCCCAGCGACATCTGTAAGTTTAGAACCAATTTTTTCAACTGCTGGGAATGTAGTTACGCCCAAAAGGAACTGTCTATCACCAGAAAAATGTATTAATGTATTGTGTCAAAATCGTAAATTATTATTACAGAACATTTAATGGACACTTTTTTCATAATTATACATTTTCTGTTATTAATTATTTCATATTTTTCCTTTATCACTTATTGTAAAAAAAAATTCTCTAGAAAAAATTGCAGTTGTATTTATAGTTTGAAAAATTATTTTTGTAATTAATATTCAAAGAAGAATCAAACGCAAAAACATCTATAATTCATATTATATTATTATGTATATAAATTATAAACTATAAATATAATTTGTAATTAAAATAATTGGTTTGGTTTTGTCATATTATCGAAAAGCTGTTTTGTTTTAAATGTAGATTGATCATAGAATACTTAAATCTATAAATCTGATAACTAAACACACATGCATTAATAGTTTTAATTGATAAAAAGTTTCAGATTTAAAAATAAAACCATATGTGATATTAAGTGATTATTTCATTTTTATAAACGACAATGAGTTGGGGCACATGGGACATGTACCCGTGTGCCCCATTCTTGTATCCGCCACTGATCATGGTGCAAGGACTTTTAATATACATCTATTCATCTCACGGATATACAGACTTTTATTACACGTATACACAGATATACGGACTTTTAATACATGTGTACACCCTACTCTAAATAAAGGTATACACTTGTATTTTAATTAAACGCACTTTAACACCATTTTCATAAAAACACTTACATCCGTGTTCTTAAATACACTTGAAAAAGGGACGTAATGAAATGTAGAAGTGATGTGACAAAAATCTAGATTTCAGACAACAGAATCCATATTACAAACTTTTGGATTTCAAAATCCGGTTTTTGTGTATTATAATGCCGATTTCTGTATTTTAAATCGGACAATTTTTTGCTAATAAATTAAACTAACTAATCTTATTAACTAGTTAGAATTTTGTAATATTTTAAATAATTCTAATTAAAAATATTGTATTTAATAGTTATTGTTTGCATGTAAATACTAAGATATTTATTTGTTAGTTAAAAATGTATTTGTACCTATGAGTAGTATTTTAAGTATAAATGTCTTGATTGTATATGATTAAGCTGGTAAGGTAATAGTGGTATGAGTTTGCCCATTTGATTATCTTACTAGATGGTGAGAGTGGGTGTATAACACTCCAGTGAAAGAGCATGTATGGCTGGAATTCACAAGCTATATGCTCTTGTATTACGTACACAGGTCACTATATCGATAAAAATTGGATTTTGTGTAATGTAACTTTGTTCATTAAAGAAATGATAGAATCACATACAGCTGACCATTTAAAAGAAAAAAATTGTAGTGCCTATGGACCAATGAAATATAACTAATAAGGTCACTAATTTTACTCATGATAAAGCATCAAATATTACAAACGTAGTCAGACATTTAGAAGACCAATTCAATTTGTATTCAAATAAATGTGCAGTACGTACAATACAATTAGTGATGAAGAAAGGTCTTCCACTGTAACTAGCTATAACAACCCTATGCTCTAAACAACAAATCACAATGTCTATGGTAAATATTTAACATAAATACAAACTCAATAACAAATCATTTTATTCATGTAAGAACATATAAAATGTATTTATTGTATTTCAAGTTCGATCACTTATTGCTAATCTCATCAATAAATAAATCAATCAGACTGTGTGCTTGCTACAGAATTTAAAAACATAGTTTCCAAACACTTGGCAAAACAATTTTCAGATGAGTATTTAGAAGGTCAGATACATGATATGCCGGTAAATGTAGCCTAAATGGCAAGTCTGCTTGACCCTAGATTCAAAATTTTAAAATTTGAACCTTCAGAGCAAATTAAATCCCGTATTCAATCAATTGTTCCATCAAAAATATACCGCATACAACAACACCCAAATAATAAAGCAAACTATGTTAGACGAGCTAATGGGGGAATCCTCTGAAGATTATAAAGATGAATTTACTTGCTATTTGTCAGAACCTTAAATTAATCACAACGAGAATGGTGGAAAGCACGTGAAATTGTTTATCATACAATATCAGTTTTAGCAAAAATATTTTATACATTCCAGCTTAATTAGCATTTTCTGAATGAGTATTTTCTACAACTAGTAATAACACCCAAGTAAAACAGAACACCTTATCTTTTGTCAGCACTCAGCTTAAGTATTTTTGAAAAACAACCTTATATTAATTATAAAATTATAAAATTAACAAATTTATTATTATTATATAATATTGATATTAACAAGTATTATTAATTATTATCATAATTATTACTAAGAATATTATTATACATTGTACTTCTAATTATTATTATAACAAATTATTTATTTTATACTGTTTTATATTGGTTTACTGTTAGTTTTACAAACTGATAACAACTATTATATTTTATTTATTTATGGTCTATGAATTATTATTCTGATATTTATGAGTTGTGTTATTCATTTGATATTCCATATTATATTATACTCTATTCAAAATAAGAAAGGTATTGGGCAGCCAACTTGTGCATATGGATGTGGCTTCCTTTCGAGGGCCTTACCATATTGATGGTTGACTTGGTGGAAGCATCTGAATACCAACACCGGTACCTTTCTTATTCTGAAGAAATAACTCATCCTTAAGTAAAATTAAATTTCATATTAAATTACATGTCATACCATATTTGATGTTTATTTGATGAATTTGATGCAAATAAATTACTATTTAGTTTTTTAATCGTATAAATATTATTTATTCATTAATTTGTTAATTTATTACAGAAAAATGTTTAGTTATAATGAATGTATCATTAGTTATACACAAAACTATTACAAGCTAAAGTTTAAAATTCCGAAATCTAGAAAACATCACTTAAATGTAGTGTACATTTTTATGATGTATGTTTTTTTTTTTTTAGTTATACTTTTGACAATAGACATGTTGTATACTTAAGACCTTTAATCTTTAAACCATTCTGTTTATTAATATAAATTTGTATAATTTTAATAATATTTAAAATGATTTTTGATTCAAAACTATTTATGATATTATATATTTTAGTAATCAAATGATCGGTTCACCAAGTGGTCCTCAACTAACTCCTGGTGGCCAAATGAGTGGGCCTATTAGATCAATTGGTACGTCTATTTAAATTAAAGCAGTTAAATGTGTACATTTAGTTGAAAAAGATATATTAATTTAGTGCAAATCCATTATGATTTATAATTCTTAAACTGAACTACATTATAAATTAAATGTTAAAAACGGGTATTTTAAGATCACATAGCACAATGTGATATTATTATATTAATATATTTCATAGAAAGTGACTTTGCTTAATAATCATGTTTAAAAAAATCTAAATAAATGTACAATATTGTTGATAGTTATAATTCACTTTTCAAAATACATCTTTTTAAACTTAATATCTAAAAAAAATTAGTTCCATAGTCTATGCCATAAGATAATAATCAGTTCCTCCCAGAACTTGTAAAGATAAGGAAATGTTTGGATGACATCTATTGTTTAGGGTGCTTGGAGAAAAAATTGGGGTCTGAATAAGCTGTTAGTTGTGATGCGCAAAAACTAATTATTCTCTGAAATATTCTATTCTTGGAATAGACTGGAATTGGAGTATAGATAAATCAAATAGATTAAAACTATACTTTTCTCAATTAGCATCCATAAATATTACAATATTAATTAAGTGCCCTAACAGTTTTCCAACATAAACACCATAACACAATAATGACATATTTTTATCATTAATTAATTAATAAATTACTTCAAACCACTGTTCACACTAAATTTATTTTGTTATAATTTTTTGGGATTATTTGAATTTTCATGCAAATCCCATGGACGAGTTAATATCTACTCTATAGTCAGACTATCTTAATTTTATAAATAAATATAATATGAAATAATAACAATAATCACTAAACTACTAAAATTGTTCAATTAAAATAATAATAATTATTATTATTTTTTGTTCCAACTATAGATGACAATCTGTTTTACAATATAAAACTTATGTGTTTGTATTGTAGATGCAACCATAGGCTTATAAACTTATGGCCACCACTTACAGAGAGAAACCGGTGTATGAGATAGCTGAGAGAGAAATAACAATGCGTTTAGGAATATACCAGATACCTAGAAACTAACGGAGCCGAGAGAGAAAAAAACTATGCATTTGGGAAGTTACAGTGTTTTCTCATTCGTTCTATCTCTTCACCTCCCCCTCCCCTCCCCCGTTAACTGTTGGCTAGGTAGTGAGGTAGGCGCTTTCGATTAGCTTATAAGTCTATGGATGGAACCATAAATCAAAACAAATTGTAACAAAAGTCAAAACTTATTATTAAAATTGTAACAGATACATTAAAAAATTAGTTATTACTTATTATAGATGTTGAACTATTAATTTTAAATGTTCTTGTTAAAAATGTTCAATAATGATTTACATAACTTTGATACATGTGCGATATGTATATGCTATATTTTATAACATTTTGTGTGACTTAATTTTTTAGGTAATGTGCCATCGCCAGGTAATTCTGTTCCATCTTTAAATACTCCTATGAACCCTTCATCTAATGCTGGCCCAAGTCCTCTGGCTCAAGAAGACATAGCATATAGAGAAAAAGTTAGGCAACTAAGCAAGTACATTGAACCTTTACGAAAAATGATTGCACATATAGGGAATGAAGGTAAAGTAATGTTTAGTCATTTTATCCTTACATTAACTGCTGTCATTAATTTTAATATTATATTTTTATCATAATAATCAATAACTATAGACGTTGAGAAATTAAGCAAAATGAAAAAGCTTCTAGAAATACTGTCAACTCCCACCCAACGGATGCCTCTGGAAACTTTGTTGAAATGTGAAACTGCTTTGGAAAGATTAGATTTAAGCAGAGTAATTACTTGTTGTTTCTTTCAAACCGTTTTTTCCATTGTTTGTTTCTTACAATAATTACTATAATCATTATTATTAGGGAGAAGGTGGAAGTGTGCCTCCGCCACAATCATCTACCATGAGAGAGGTGCATCCGTTAATTGAAG